TCACGGGTTGGATTGCGGAATCGATAGAGATACTGTATGACCGTCACGTGTTTAGTTTAGACTGCGACTTTTGTACAGAGGCCCAAGCATGAATTTTGAAAAATATAATCTAGAATTGATCATATTTTGCCAATAATAAGAATAGGTCCCGACTGTTTTTTTTCCAATTATTTTGATAACTATTATATTGTAACTATAGTTTAGATTGTGACTCGAATCTATGAAGCTAATCTACGACTTACCTACGTTTCGCAAATCTGGGGGCTTAGACAAAGTACTGAGTACAAACTGATGTGGTTATAGATCGCATTTTGAACAAGCGAGCGAGCGCGTATAAAGTGATTAATGCGAGGCTAATTAATTGTCTAAACTTTGTTTCGCTTTTGCCTTCAAACCTAAAATTACTGTGTCAATGCTACATATTAATGTATAACTCTTACCCAACTATGAAATTGAAATGCTTCTTTTCCGTAATGCCATTGCACGTCCCATTTATTGTTTCATAGAAATACGATAGTGAATAAAAAATATTTTCGGTGATTCCATTGGTCAACGGGTACACGGTTGAATGTTATTTTTTCGTTCAATGGGACTACGGAATAGATGCGAATTCAAACTATGAAAACGCTTTAACCTATTGAAAATCTGTTTCTAATAAAAATTTCGCGCGTATCGTGGAACACTCGGGTCAAACGAAGTTAAAAATATTTATATAACACTCCCTGGGCCCTCGTGGCGAGTCATGGCCCAATGTCCCTCTTCTATAAAAAAAGTATCCTACCCAATAATCCGGGCCCTGTATGGATTGAGCCTATTGTAGTGCGTATTGGGTCCAGAGCGGATTGGGACCAGACCGGATTGGGTCCCGTGCGTATTTGACCCAGAGCGGATTGGGTCCATATCTATATCAGGCCTGCCCTTAATATCTCCTAATTCTTTAAAGTATCCTATCCAGCACCTCGCACAGGGGCCGCGTGGTGGGTCATGTCATGGTCCGGTCACCGGATTCCGGAAAACTACCAAACATAACTTTAACGAAGTCCACAGCCAACGCCGGCAGTAGTCGCCCACCCAGCCTTATTAGCTACCCATTCAGGTACCTCGCTAGTTGGTTTTGCATGCGTCACAAAAAAAAACAAAAAGGTACCTAGCTAGCTGCCTCCTGCCTCTGGCGGAAAAACCTTACAAAATTTTCGCTTAGCACCTATCCGACCACCGTCTGAAAAGGAACTTTATTCCAAAAAATCCGATGTCCGTTGCGCCGTCTCTACTTAAACTGTGTAACATTCCATTTTTAGTAGTTTTGGGAGAATTATCCTTAATATTCGTAACATCTTTCCTGCAATTTGTGGGAGTGATTTCGTGAAATGGGACGGAAGTGTGTAACAGGAAGTCGCGAAAGCGCGCGCTATATCATTTGATTTTAGAACATTATGTTCAAATGGCACATTCCTTTTGTAGTAGGTTTTATTTCTTTTTTTACTAATATAAGGTACGATTTCAAATGTTACACATCATACGCGACTACTGATCACGAAAAGCGGTTCAAACGATTTTGGATGAAAGTACACGGATATTATAGCTTGGATTAAGAAACATGATAACATGTATAACTTGAACGTAGCGGTATACTTCCGGAGCTGCAGTTTGGTTTTAGGAAGGGTCGTAGCACCCCAACCGCATTAATAGATGTAACCGATAACATATTAGCAGATCAGGATAAGGGCCAGTGCACAGTTCTCGTTTTATTAGACTTTTCGCGTGCCTTTGGTGCTATAAATATCGATCTGTTAATCGCCAAAATGAGACACTACGGTTTCGATCACAACACGTTGCTTTGATTCCGAAGCTACTTGGAAAATAGAAAGCAATTTGTAAAACTGACTCAAAGTAACGGTTGCCACAGCACTTCTCAGACGAAAACCGTGACTAGAGGCGTGCCGCAGGGTTCCATACTCGGCCCTATACTTTTTATACTTTACTGTGCGGATATCATAAAGTCCTTCAAAAAATGTCAATATCATATCTATGCTGACGACGTGCAAGTCTATATATCGTTTTACCCAAAAGATTACCAAGCAGCTATATGTGATCTAAACGAGGAGTTGAGTCTTGTGGCCCAGTGATCGGAGAAGAACTGTTTGGTACTTAATCCTTCAAAGACCAAATATATGATATTTGGTACTGATAAAATGAAACGTCAATTACCGGATAATTTAAATGTAACATTACTTGGGGAACCTATAGATCGGATTGATATGGTACGCAATCTTGGTCTTTATATTGATGAGAGGCTGAGATTTGAAAAGCACATATCTGACTCTGTCCAAAATTGTTTCTACCGACTCAAAGTTTTGCACAAAATTAGACCATTTATATCCGAAGAACTAAGACTTCGTCTAACGGAATCACTCGTACTGTCGAAATTGAACTACGCCGATATTGTATATGGGCCGCGACTGCTCGCTCGAACTAACAAGCTCATTCAAAGACTGCAAAATGCATGTGCGCGGTTTTGCTACAATATACCTCCCCGTGGCCACATTACCCCATTCTTGAACCAACACGCAATTCTTAAAATGAAATCTAGGCGTAAACTACATCTGGCATGTTTACTATTTGAAGTGATTAGGTCTAGGCAACCTGCATATCTTTACAATCGGCTTGTCTGGCTAAGCTGCAGAAGGCAGTGCTCCCAGCAGCTTCCTACTCAGTCTCATGGATCAGCATCTTTCAGGGGCAGTTTTCGCTATGCAGCAGCAAAGATTTGGAATAACATCCCACCCCCTATAAGAGTAAGTAACTCCATTTATGTGTTCAGAAAACATCTTCGTCAATATCTTAAAAATACACAACAAAAATTAGGCAGTATAAATATAGGCATGTCTTACATATAACTAAATAAACTTACTTAAATACTAAATTAGAACCAAGGATATAAAACAACAAATAAACAAAAACTAATTTTAATATTGAAAATAATTTTAAAAAATCAGTAATTCGTACCAAGTAAAAACAAAAAAGGCACACAGTGCACCAGACCATATTGGATTGGATTGGCGTTGTTGGTTTGACGGTGATTGTGGCAGGTCAGTAGTCATTTCTCCATTAAAACTTGGTTCATGGCTTGAAGAGCATAAACAATTTTGTACATGACACTCATCCTACTTCTTATACACATCACAGTTGTAAGCAATTTAAAAATAATATGTAAGTGCTATTTGACGTTGTTCCCAAATGTGGCGTTTTGTGGATGTGATGAGTTTTTAACTGGGTCGTCTGCAAATTAATAATAAAAAAATAAAAAAATGTCAGTGTTTCATGGTTTGTTTACCTTGAAAATATGTTATTGTGTTATTTACTGTTTAGATGAGTTTATTGAATATGCTACTCACTTAACTTTTTCTTTTGTTCACTGGTACAATTTGTAATATTTCATTTTTATTTAATATAAAATCCTTTAATCTTGTATCATAGTGTCTGGCATCCACAAATCAGAAAGGGAACCAGTTGAAAACCAGCGTCAGTGCAAACTGACTCATGCTGAACTGGATCCTTTTCGGTCCAGCTGTGGATATATGTAATGTATGTTTTTTAATGTCCGTCATTTAGTGTATATATATATTTATATGCATATATGTGTATGTGTATATATATATGTACATATATGTATGTGTGTGTGTGTGTATAAATTTAACCTTTTGTATGTATCCACGTCTGTTCCGAATAAATGTTTTTCATTTCATTTCATTTTCAACATTTTATTCCGATTATTGCGTAGGTACGCTACGAGTGGGTAATCGGTGGAACATCCTGACGTCAGAAACGCTGGACACTCAAACAATATTTGAAATATTGAGAAACCAAATGCTTTATGATAGAAAGTAAATAGATGCAAATGGGAAGCAAAGCAATGGGGAATTCTTGGCAACCTAGAGAGGTCAGGCATAGCTGATTTCCCGCTCGAATTGGAGCGCCCGTCTGGGGGAGGTTACTTCCCCTATTTCGCGAGGGGTGGTTAGTGCACTGCTCATCAGAGGCAATTACTAATTGACAGATTGGGGCTTCGGAGCTTGGCAATGTCGTTGTTAATTCTGGGAATAAACAGTTTCAAATTAACCAGATCTTTTTAGAGAACTAGTTTCGAACCCACAGTTGGTAACCCAAAGTAGCCCGTCTGATGAAGTGACTTTAAGTTATTTCATGAGACGGGAGCTCTAATAACAGAATTACTAATTGCATAAGGGCCTTACGGAAGATCACAGTAAAATAACACTACCTTTTGGTGGTGTAGTGTTTCTGGCGGTAAGTAAGGCTTCAGGGCTCCACGGGGTAAGGAATTGCGTCACGGTAATGCCTACCATTAACAATTACCAACGCTGCCACGTTGCGAGTGATATTTTTGGTATCGCAAGCTGTCTGTACGCTATGGTGGCCGCCGCCGCTTATCATCAGGCGGGCTATATGCTTGTTTGCAATCCTTTTAACATAAAAATACCTTTTCGGTGCTAAATATGAGTAATGATCCAAAATCTCTCTATTGTACATTTTGATATGGAAAAGCATGAATGTATGTTGAGGAGCTCGATGGCGCAGGTGGCTAGCGCGTTCGGATGCAATCGTTGAAGTTAAGCAACTTTCTCAGTGGTCGGTCAGTGGATGGGTGGCCAAAAATCTTCTATCTCGAGTTCCTCCGTGCTTCGGAAGACACGTCAAGCCGTTGGTCCCGGCTGCATCTGCAGTCTTTAGCACCCGCCAATCCGCACTAGGCCCGCGTGGTGGGTCTCATGAAACATGATAACATGATCCCCCCAGCAGTGGGGACATTAATAGGCTGATGATGATGATGTACCGACATAAGTTATATGGTTGTTGTTATTGGTTTCAGGAGCAAATATCATGGGTGGCTGCGATGGGATCCCCTGGTTTCGTGGCAGGCAGTTTAGTGTCAAGATACATATCCGATAGATTCGGGAGACGTGCCACTATATTGATGAGCGCTTTACCTGTTACCATCGGTACTGTAAGTAACAGCTTACACATACTGCTTTTATATATTATATACACATTCTGCTTTTTTATTGAGGGCAGAAGTAATGTCCAGATCTGTCTGTCAATGTGCAATCCAATTTTTTTTATTCCGCTTAACATGTATTTTTGTACTACAATAAAGTAATACACGGTTTTAAACTATGTTTACTTATGATGTCTTGTTATCCAGTGGTTTGCACACCCGTTTTCATGCCATCTCTGCGGCCCCGTTCCGATCCCAGGTCAAGTAATTTGAGTTGACTGTCTTGGAACTTTCGGTGTTTCTGATTCACTTAACATTTGGGATTAATTAGACCAATGTACCTATGAGATGTTCCATATAATTATGTTTGTGATCATTTATTTTATTAAGGTATCTATTATTTTATTTATGTGCAGAGAATGATACGAGCATTCGCACAAGCGTGAAGATACGTAGGTTAATCGAATTAAGTAGGTAGTATTTAGTCATGTCAATGTTCAAGGGTTTGTTGCATGTCGTATTTATTATTGCCTGAGATACTAAATATACTTGTCACTTTTGGTTTTGCATAAAAATATTGTGTTCGTGTATAGTTTAATTTCATTCAGTTAGGATTAACATATATGTCCCCAATTGCTGTAGGGTAGGCATTATTCTTAGTTAAGTTTAAGGGAGGTAGTACATAGCGGATTTTCCTCTCGAATTCGAGTGCCCGTCTGGGGAAGTAACCTCCACCTTACGAAGATCACAATAAAATAACACTACCTTATCGGTGGTTTTGTGTTTGTGTGCTGTCGGTGACACAGTTTCCAGGGCTCCACGGATTAGGGGATGGAGCCAGGGTAGGCAACGGCGCGAGTATTATTTTTAGTATCAAACGCGTCTAAAGGTCATCAGGCGGGCCATACACTTGATAGCCACCCTTTTAGCATTAATAAAATATAAGATTGTTGTTCTTCAATATTCACGTGAACGAAATCGAAGACAGTAATGTCAAAAGAGAATGTAAAACACTCGCTTACTGAAGATTAGATTTTACTACTTAAAAAGCATATGAAACCTATGTGCAAGCATTGAGATTCGTATTATTCTGTAATTCCCTTGGCGCAATTTATTTTTATATTCTTTTTACAAATAATAAGGAAACATAAAATTTTACTTTATTATTAGCACATTTCTCGAATAGGCATCACTTTTGGCCGACTGGTTCCAAAGAGAAATTAAGTTACATCTTGTGTAACAGGGGAATCAAGAAAAGACAAGCAAGAAGGTAATCAAAATTTTAGTAATATGAAAATTAAACAACCTTTTATCCTTAAATAATAATAAAATATACTAAAAGCTACAGAACACAACTTAAAAAAAAAAACTAAAGTTTTAGTAAAATTGCTGTCGAGCACCCAATGCTTTTTATATAATAGTTTTTTATACATTTGAGCTCGATATGCTATAAATACGCGTTAATAAGAATTCATACTAATATTTAAACAAAACAAAATAGGAAATCGTTGATTACCTACCTTGGTGAAATACCAAGGGGATCAACACCAATGGAATCAAAAAATTAGACGTTTTTATCGATTGTGCTAAAAGAAGCATTTCTTTTACATATTGAATATAATAATATAAATATAAACAATGGTAACATAAAGCTCTTGTGTTAACATCAAACAAAAATCTCAAAAAATTAATAGCATTTTTAAAAAAGTTCAGGGTAATTAACAGTCTTGTTAAACAAAACCAGGGGTATCAAATGTTTACCTCCTTAATTTAATTCTAGACCAATGATCAGCATAGCACACCCCACTGAAGTGAAGTGTGAAGCACTACTAGAGTTCACGTAACAAAGTAAAAAGTATTTTAACGCGCAAGTGGAATCATTGTTTAGCCCCGGACAGAATTTACATTCTAATTCTAAATAAAACTATCTTTCATAAATCAACAACTAATATGCTATAGCTTAAACCGCATTATATACTTCATTTCTGCTAAAAAGGTGGTGTTTTGCTCGTAGTTTGTCCACAAAATGTGGAGCGGACGCGCCAGGGGATGTCAAATGTTTGTCCTTTAGGATATTTTTTTATCATTTCTACCCAAATAAGACTCGATCATTATCGTGACTTAGTTAGATCATACATTATAGTAGCATAAAAATTATATTGGATGGTTTTAATATTACGGGACAGCGAAAATTGAGCCTCTCTAACACAGATTCCGACACGTGACGTCATGAAACAGCAACATCGACGCGACCCGAATGCGTACGTTTCTATGTCGTAAAAAGTGTTATCAAAATACAATTGTGATAAAGCCAATACGATGTACGAAGTTTGCCATTATAATTTCAATAGTTCAATTGTCTTCCATAATGTGACACTTATTGTGCTGCAATAAAGGAACTTTTACTATACTTAAAATGTACCCTTTTTGGAGTTTACATTATAGAGATAATAATATTATACCATCGGTAAACATTGTTTAAGTGATGAAATATTTATTGCGACACGAATATTTTTAATGGGTTGATTATATTTATCGAACTGAATCGATAAATTGGATGTTAATTAATGTCACATCTGTCACCGTGAAAAGTTATTTATTTATAGTGTGTGTCGTTAAGTGTCCATAAAATGCGTTTCTTGACTGAGGCAAGGGCAAGGGCTTTACACCCGAAACCCGTGCACTGAGACTATACTGGTTCCAATTTCCATTACCGCCTGAAAAGTGGAGTCGGTTAATCAATGATCATCATATCATCATCATAATCAGCCGATGGTATCCACTGCTGGACATTAGCCTCCTCTAAGGATTGACGAACATTTCGTTCGTGCGCTTTCCGTATCCAGTGGGTCCCCCGACTCGCTTGATGTCGTCAGTCCACTTATTGTGGGGTCTACCGACACTGCGCTTCCTAATGCGAGGTTGCCATTGAAGCACCTTGGGACCCCAGAGTCCAGCGGTCCTAAGCTATATAGATCACTCTTCTACGGATTTCCTCGTTCCTGATTCAATTAATAAATTATAAATTAATGATGAAATATGATAATTATCTGTATTAAGATGATCTGAATATATACCTATATGTATCTACCAACTCGATTTTATTTTTATTATTTCTCAAAGATAAACTACAGAGAGGAGGTTTAAAGGTACTTATTAATAGTAGGAGAGCTACTGAACCCTCCGACTAACGGTCTGTCTGTAAGGCTAGAAATTCTTATGGTGATGAGTCATAACATGCTTAGTACGGTAAGCATCGTCTGGCACTCCTCAGCCCTGCACGTCATCAAGTCCTATAAATTTGAAATTGTCAAAAAAATATTAAAAAAGAACTTGTTGCTGTAAGCTTGAAATTTTTATACAATTTAGTTTATTCATTTAAAGTTTAAAAAAAATTGCCAGGTGTTTACGATAAGCACAAGTATCCGCCAGGAGAACCGAAAGGTGTGTAATTACTTGCACTGCCGCAACATCTTTCCCCTCGCCTGGCAAGGACTTGTGCTAGCCAGAACCGCCTGGCATTCTACCAACTTACTTAAAATCGCTTAAACAAACACATATATAAATTTCAACTTTACAGAATAAAGTTTATTTTAATGTATATATTACACAGTTTTCAGTTTATCTGGCGGGTACTTGTGCTCATCGTAAACACCTGGCAATTATTTTTAAAATTTAAAAATTAGTAAACTAATCTATCTATATATATAAAACTAAAAGGTGACTGACTGACATAGTGATCTATCAACGCATAGCCCGAACTACTGGACGGATCGGGTTGAAATTTGGCATGCAGGTAGATGTTATGACGTAGGCATCCGCTAAGAAAGGATTTTGATCAATTCTACCCGCAAGGGGATAAAATAGGGAATGAAAGTTTGTATGAAACTTTGTCAATTTTAAACCGATCGGGCTGAGACTTTGCATGCAGGTATAAGAAGAATCATAGATGAATGTCATTGTGTATAATACAAGCCTGAGAACAAAAACTGTACTCTACACCGAAGCGAAGCGAGGGCGGGCCGCTAGTTTGTATATAAATTTCAAGCCTACAGCAACAAGTTTTTTGGCTTGATGACGTGCAGAGCTGAGGAATGCCAGGCGATGCTTACCGTACTCAGCATGCTGTGACTCATCACCATGAGAATTTCTAGCCTTACAGACAGACCGTTAGTCGGTACGAAGGCCTGTGCCCCAGGCAGCGCTAGGGAAAAATTCAAATTTGTATTTTATATTATGGTACAAGAGTAAGGATTTTAGGTTTTTTAAATATCATGCCATCATAAGCCGCAGAGGCATAAAATACAATTTTAAAGTTATAGGCGTATGATGATGTTCACAGCGCTGCTGCCGCATCGTTTGTTTTAGAGAATAGCACGGACACGACGACTGGACTGGGTTACGTTCTACATTATAAAGCTTCTAAAAAGACGTTATGAATGAAACAGATGTACCAGGGCAACATAACTCTAAAGGAGATACTTATTTTGATGCATTCTCAATATTCACACTGGAGTGACTGGGTTCCCAACCGTGTGATGGTCGGGAATGCATGAAAGTAGCGTTGTCCATCTAGTAAATGCATTGTCAAAAATTTGATTGCATTTTACAAAACGAAATTTGTTTTATTTTTCAGATATTCACCGTTAGCTCGAATAGTGTATGGTTTCTGTACTTCACGAGATTCCTGTGGGGTGTAGGGACTGGCATGGTTGTCACGGTGAGATATAAAATCATTATTCTTAGTAATAATCATAATCATTTATTCAGTTTAGGCTGTTATAAGCACTCATGAATGTCTAGAAGCTAGGTCATCGGTTCGTAAATCTACGGCGGGAGACCTTGTACTGAGAAGAACCGGCAAGAAACCTAGCAAGGCCTTTTTTTCCCTGTTTCATTATTTACAGAGTCGTCAAGTTAAAAATGATTTCAGAGATGATTCATGAAGTCACCTTTCATTACATAATGATCAAATATACAATTATTGTTTACCTTCATTTTAATTGCTGTGTCACATAGTATAAATACTGTTATTTATATTTGGTGTAAATAGACATTGACATCTTCAATATGAAGGAATCTCGTAATCTCAGCAGGCAGTACCCGTTCTCGAGCATGACGCATGAACCAGCCAGCGATTCGCTCAACCATATTTTAGGGAATGTAATCTTTTAGCACAAACTATTGCAGGATACTAGAACGTGGCACTCAGCCTCAGCCATGGCGGAACCTATGAGTCTTAAGTAAAGATGGCGAGTGGTTATGTTTTTATGAGTAATCTACTATAAGTTACTTGAAAGCTTCGAAGCTATTCCCACTTAACGATGAGTCCGCCTGTTATAGACATTACTAATGTTACTGTACCTTGTATCCTCAACTGTGTGCAACAGTGAATATTATTATTATTTTATAATAATGATTCTTAATTACAGATCTCACCTATCTACCTCGCTGAGATATCTGAAAAGGAAATAAGAGGCTTACTGACACTCAGTTCTCGATTTATGTTCACGGTTGGCAACTTTCTCGTGATGGTCATTGGTTCATATGTTACGTACGACACTCTCAACTATATGCTGCTAGTGTTGCCTGTGATGTTCTTCATTGCTTGTTGGTTCATCCCGGAGACTCCGTACTTCACGCTGAAGGAAGGGAAGGTGGACACTGCAAAAAGAATCCTGATGAAGTTAAGAAAATACAAAGATGAAAAGGTTCGTATTGTACATGAATAATGAGACGAAGAAAGAATATAATTATATTGATGTGAAACATGTGCATGGTTTGTGTTAGCGGCTGTATATAAGGAAAATACTTACAAGCTTGAGCTTAAGAGTTCCGTTGGATTAATGGTCATCCAAAGAGACTGCTAAAGACTAAACGCTGTGAGATTTCGGTTCTTGAGCTAGGCTCCAACATATTTTTAGTTTTAAAGTTTTATTTAAATGTGAAATCAGAAATCAATATGTCTTTATTCAAATTGGATGTAAAGTAAGTACAATATTTTTGAATTGTCCAAAAATATTTTTTTTTAACATATAATTTTAGCTGCGGAGAAAAACGAGCGAAAAAACTCCACTATGTTAAAAGAATAATGTTACAACATTTACAAATTATTATGTCGTTACAACGTCAATACATGAATTATTTCATATAATATAGTCCAGGCAACAATTTTTGACTTCGTAACTTTGTTAGGACTAGTTAGAAGGTAAACATATCTTTCAAGAGCGGATATCTCGAAAACTATACAAGATATCAAAAAACTTGACTGAATAAGACTTGTAGCAAAGGACATTGCTCAGCGTCCATACATAGTTAGCCTAAGAACCAACAATCATGAAATATTATTTTCTAGGTTCAAAGTCGTAAGTAAATGACTGTAAAAACCAAGATTATTGACGGACACTTCTGAGAACTTAAATTATTAGGAAAACTAAAATTTTTTTGAGGTTATGTTTAATATTCAATGAAACATAGGTCAACCTATGAATTTAGTATAAACTCAGTATGAAGTGAATTAATATTACAACTAATTCATTTTATTCGGTGCTATTTTAAAGAATAACTATTAGGAAAAACTTGGTTAGGTAGGAATCATGAATAAAATAAAAACTGTAGTTTTGCTTCTTATTTAATGACTATTTTTCACTTAATTGTATCATATTATTTATTGTATTTATTTGTATATCACATTATATTGTGTAAATATGCAGCGTGAATGTGTATCAGGTGTTCTTGAATAATTTGGCTATTATTATTGGTTCACTAGCACTTGGTAATAAGGGCTCTGCTCTTTGGTAATATCGATGGCATATTAGATAGCCGATATAGTTAAATTAAAGGAAAAACAATCGCAAATAAACACACACAACAGGTAATCCGAAACGAGAATGCACTTTCCGGTATATTATATATTACTCTTTGGAATGCACGAATGCCATAGATTACTACAAATGAAAACTGCATGCACCACAACCACAGAGTAAAGAATTTTATGCCGGCCCTTCTCTTGACAACAGTTTGTCCTTGTCATGCTTAGTAAGGAATGAAAAGGACAGACTGATGTCATGTTTTAAAATAGCAAATACGAATAACCAAGTGAAGTGCCGACATTAGGAAGAAAAAGTGTTTTGTTTGCAGCGCTGCCATAGATTATACACATAAAATGGTATTTATTGTCTCAGATTATTTTTTAACTTTTTAATTTAGCTTACTTAACTGGAAGTGTGCGTCACAATCTAAATACTGATAATTATCGCAAAAAATATACTAAGAATTATCATAAATGCCAAATTGGTGTTGGTTCCAATTTTAACATTGTCCTTTAATCAGCTTTCACTTTTGTCACAGTCTCTTGTCGCTAGGATGCAAAGTTTCCGAGATATATGCGAAAACCCTAAAAATGGGACCTTCAATCCCCCCCCACCCCTTCCCCCCGGCTTAAGGGCTACGGGCGGGGACTTTAGATATGTTTACCTCCTAACTAGTCCTAACAAAGTTACGAAGTCAAAAATTGTGTTCTAAGCATTTCCCTCTATACCTCTTCGTTGCCTGGACTAATAGAAAACCTGTTGGAATGATTGGAACAATTCAAAAAATGTTTTGTACATCCGCGTTTGCCCTATTCACGTAAAAATTTACCACTCGTATAAATTGTAAAGTCAGCGTACTTGCCTTAAAATGATAGGCAAGATCGCCTCAATAGTATCTATTGCATTTAAATGAAAAAAACAACTTTTTATAATTATGAATAGCTCAGACGAGGTACTTTTGTCTACAGATTTCAATGTTCTTTTGGAAAAAAGTACTTGGACAGACGTCTGCGTTAGATTTCAAAGTTAATAAAAAATAAAACAGTGGCCCGCCCTGGCTTTGCTTCGGTGTAGAGCTGTAGTGTCTATAGTTTTTGTTCAAAGGCTTGTATTATACACAATGACCTTCTTCATAATAATTATAAACCTTCCATTCCAAGTAAAAAATTCGTTGCATAGTTTAGGACCCGTTGTACCGAATGCAACATTGCTTTGTTGTTTCGATTTGAAAAGTTATTTTTGTATTGGATAGTGCATTTATCGAGAAAGGCTATATATTACCAGGCTATTGACCAGTAGCAGCGGAGCATCGATGAAAAATGTTGCAAAACGGGTAATGATATTTCGTTGCGTGCGCTGGGTAAACGGTTAAAGTTACACAAAAATCCTGTATGACGGAATTCTTGCCCTTTAAAAGTTCTGTAAAAAAACCCATGACAGCCTACGTCTATATTTTAAGTTAGACTCGCTATAAACCTTTTTCTTCAAATTAACGCGGGTGAAACCGCAGGGGACCTTTAGTTGTGACATAACTGTAGTAGTTAGACATATGGTATCCCGGACTTTTTTGTAGATATTGGTATCCTCTATAAAACTTTAGTACATCACTTTGCTCTGTTGTCAATCACTTCCGCAACGTACGCGATATAAGGCTATTTTTTGGTATTTTTTACACATGTTTTGTTACATTATCGAAGTTTTCATACGGAACCCTGACTTTTTTGAAAATAAACTATAGCCTATATTAATCAGTGATAATCTAGCATTCAAATGGTAAAAGAATTTTTAAAATCGGTCCAGTACTTTTTGAGCCAATTCGTTACAAACATACTTACACACATTCTCACCTCTTTATAATATTTTATTTGTGATAAACAGATGATTTTAATTTGTTCGTGTTATAATGGCAGAAACTTGAAGAAGATTTGGAGTCCATGCAGAAAGATGTCAAAAAGGAAACGCTGCGATCGGGATCTTTGAAGGAATTATTTACGGGAAGGCAGTACCGTAAGGCAGTTATAATATGTACAGGTATGCAAACTAATTACAAATAATATTGGATAGAGATAATAAGTAAAAATACCTAAAGTGGAACTAGGAGAGTAATATACACGCCATCTTTGTTAAATGGACTCAGAGTTTTCCACAGTAAAAGCAATGGCTAAGGAATACTCAAGGCATATCATTTTCTCGAAAAAGGAAATAAGTTAGCGCGCTGTTTCATAGATGGCGTTTTAATGTACATTTCTGTCTTGAGAGAGTTTATGTGTACTCAAGAAATCGATGGAAACATTAATGGAATCGTCAATAATAAGACGACTTTGTTGAAAGTTATCTTTATATTAATAGAACAGAAAAGAAAAATACTTATTTGGTAAGTAGGTATATACAAAAAAATATTAAAAGTATCACATAAAATTAAAAAAAAACTACACAATGAAAATAAAAAACAGAGATCAAATAAAAACTTAAATTTTAGCATAATGCCGCAATTAGACTTATACTATTATTTTCAACGCACGACGATGCGATTGCATCGTGCCAATGGTACGATCCTCCAATTAGGACGACGCCTGATACTTATAATTTTTTGCTGAAGAAAAGAGCCTGGTTTAACCCAACCTACCTTTAGTGCACCTTTTAAATATAGTGGATCAACGATTTATCAAATATCAAAGTAAAATTGTGGAATACGCCATAAGAATATGTTCAATGTTACTTTGTGTCATAAAATTAAAAGGTTTTTGGAGTTACACCATTACAGCTAAATAATAGCCTAGGCAAATAATTTCATATTGGGTGGTAGCTCTCCCAAATTAAACAGTTGAATGCTTATTTTGTTCAATCTGGTTCAAACAGGTCAAACCATCGATGCAACAAAATACAGCTTGGTAAATTGTGATTAGTTGCGTCAATAGAGATCGAACACCAAGCAGCCAACAGACGTGGAAGCATTGAAAATTGGTATAACCATTACGTCTTTACATGGAACTATATTACTTGAAAGAAATTCAAAACACGGGTTAATATAATACCTACATGTATTTTACTAAATTGTCATAGCATTTCAATTATCCATTTATTCAAACAAGACAGTTTTTGACAAATTACTACATTATTGCATTTTAAGTATTATAAAGAAATATTGGGTATCATATCAAACCCGTATTCGTATTTCACTATTCGTATAAAAATAAAAATTAAGGACCAATTCACACTGAAATGGCAGCGGCTTTCAGTTTTACATATTTTTTTAACTATATACATAGGTACTTAAAAACCAGTATCGTTTGAAAAGTTTGAACAAGTCACGCGGCTCGCGCGGCCGATGTGAATCAGAACCATGTTCAGCCTTAAATGAAGTTATAAAAAAAATGGCCAACTTCGCTCTTCTTATTGTTCGCGCTGACTTCGCTCTATTAGGACTTAGTAAATAATCCCGTTTCATCTTTTACATTTATTTGTTTTTATTAGGCTAGTTTAAATTATAAAGAAATTAAAATAGCATGTACTTTTCACAGTCTAAGGCCGAGGCCGCATTAGTACGGATTATGCGACGCAACGACGGTTTTTTTAAAAAAAAAAATGTGTGCGTGTACTAGTGTACACACGTAAGAAGTGAAACTTCTTTATGGCCTTATTTTTTTCGAAAAATGATGTACATGCAACTTTCCAGAAATATATATAGGCGTGCGCTAAGATTTTTCAAAAACTCACCCACTAAAGGGGTATAACTACACCTTACCTTACCTTACCTAATTTGAAAACATAAAACTAAATATAGTACTATTAACTTATTATACGTATTTATAACATATATATATATACATATATATATATATATATATAATAAAAAAAAAAATAATAAAAAACATATATAGTATCAAAGATATAATAAATAATACTTACCAACAGTGTAAAACGAGTTAAATATATGAAGACCACAGGTTTTGCTGTATCAAATCGCAGCGTACCAAACCTGCAAAACGAAATCACACACATAATTATATACCTTACCTTACCTTACCTTACCTTACCTTACCTTACCTTACCTTACCTTACATTACCTTACCTTACCTTACCTTACCTTACCTTACCTTCAACAATTTGAAATATTTAAACCATATCATTACAATATTTGTATTTATTAATTTCAGTGTAGTAATTAGCACTGAAATTAGTAATAGTATCTATTAGCTATCTTTCTAAAATAATACCTTACCTTACCTTACCTTACCTTACCTTACCTTACCTTACCTTACCTTACCTTACCTTACCTTACCTTACCTTACCTTACCTTACCTTACCTTACCTTACCTTACCTTACCTTACCTTACCTTACCTTACCTTACCTTACCTTACCTTACCTTACCTTACCTTACCTTACCTTACCTTACCTTGTGTGAAACACGAATATTTGCTGTCGATACTTTTTTTTTTAAAGTTGACAGAAGAAGCATTTGTTCGGATGAGGTAAATAGTGCTCTTTTAAAAAAAAGATGGCGCGTAACCAAAAAACGTGACGCGTAACCGAACAAATGTGACGGTAAATTTTTTCCAACGCCGATAAAGAAGTTTCACTTCAAAAACATCGATATATCGATATATCAGACCAATTTTCCCAAAAATATATTTAGGTTAGCCTAGCACAGTAATAATAACAATACAAATTATAATTAATATACAATATCTCACGAAAGATGACACGCGGAATAATAATGGTACGAAAATTATCTCCCTAAAAAAAGACCCTATTTTCGAATGATGAAAATGATTGCAGGGCATCTCAGGTGCCATCTTTCGTGAACAACACTAGACAGTCACAAACTTCCACAGAATATAATGGAATTCAGTACAACCAATTCACCAGCGAAACAGATTTACAAATCATAGACAATACTAAATACAGAACAGATCATAGATATATTGAATATCATTAATCTGAGCTCCGTTTAAGATTTTTCCAGATACGACTTTAGTTAGATCGTGATATACCGCTAATAATTAAAAAAAAATCGTTTTTGATACGAATTTCGATATTGGTTATTTTGTATCGATGTATCGATATATCGAATCAAAATATATCGGCTAAAAATATCGATATATCGAACAACAAATATCGATATATCTTCAACAACCCTATAGTCTAACAAAATACACTGTAGTTTCAATTTAATTCTTTTGCACCTAAGCTCTCGGAATTTAGAGTCATTTTGGCTCGAACAGGATGCGCACCAAAAACGTAACGAAGTCATACATCGATAGATTTAACTCCTCACATTTTTCTCATACCGGGCCCCTTATCATCTTATCGGGCACCCACCTTATCGGGCAAATCGATTCTTAAGGAGTAAACTCCAAAAAAACTCATATAAACACATGTCACCGCACTTTTGCAGACGTTTCTGTCGCGTCACGTCACAGTCGCTGTATCAGTGCGACCTCGGACTAGAGTTCGTTCAGATGATAGGCGTTTAACGGGCGTTTTGCACTAACGCACGTTGTGCGCGTCCAACAAAAACGCGCGTTAGCATCTGAACGACTCGAACGAAATGCATGTATTTGTCAACGCGCGTTAGTAAAACGCGCGTTAAACGCCTATCATCTGAACATACGGCGGGTACACATTGGGCGCCCGGTGTTGCGTTGAGCGCGCGTTGATTGCATACACACGCCGCGCTCGGCTGGGCGTTCGGCGAGCGTTTAGTAGGGTGTGTTTCTAGCAGTACGAAAATGGATGCCGAAGTGATTACTTGTGTGTGGCTCCTCTACCGTCGCTATAAAAGACGGCGTATTTTTTTTATTTTACGTCTTTTTAGCGTCTTATTTTTTTTATAATCGGGACATTTCATGTCCCAATTAGCTGGTCGCTTTTGGATTTCATCAATAAAGAAATCTGTGTCAAAATGTTCGGTGTCTATTTTTCCGTTGAACTGACGTCTACACTACACCAAAGCGCGCGATCTAATGTACAACAAAATGGCGGCCCAAGTATCTCGAAGCGCGCAGCTATCGCCCGCGCAACGCGCGATCATACGTAAAATATGAGAACGAACGTTTGACGCACGCTTGACCAGAATCGCGCGCTTGCATGTGTACACTTCAATAGAACTCCTGGTTCTCGAAACGCGCGTTAGCAAAGCGCGCGTTGGAAAACGCTTAATGTGTACACCACTTAAGTTTATGAAATTACCAGGTACGTCGCCAAACAATTTCCAATATCTACTGCATGGGTGAATGATTTAAGAGTTTTTGGAAGTTAGTGTAAATTCGAAATAATCAAGGTAATTGACGTTTCTAGGTCTCACACTAACACAGATGCTGTCGGGGTCAATCCTGATCCTGCATTATCTCGGTCTCATCATGCAGGATGGTAGAATCGACATGAAACTCACTACGGCGTTCACTATATTCGGTGGAGTTCGAATTATATCGGGTAACTTATATTTAATTAAAACAATATTTTTATCATTATCCTTAGATTACTTCTTAATGTCAAATAATATTCAATGGGGTGTATTATGAGCAACCTCTACGCGTGATGAAATCTCAGATAGAGACAGACTTCTTTACGATTTTTCACAAACCATCCTGCAAATTTGATTATCTTAGCATAGAACATATTAAACCCTGCTGCTATTTGCATTTTTCAGGCTTTGTATCCACGATTCTATCTTAGGAATGCCTGCTTTCAAGATCTTTACTTTACTTTTGGCGATGAGGTTCCAGAACTTCACGGGCTACCCTTACTTTCACTACTTATATCCCCATATGGTTAGGTAAAGCAACGCGCAAGTTATGCTCTGGTATTCCAAAAGTTTTAATGATATAGTTTGTTTTCAATTAATATTTATTTCCATTTACAGGAATCGTATCATCATTGCTCGCAGATCGAGTGGGTCGTCGGCCACTTCTCATTATGTCTTACCTGGGTACAGGATGTGCTCTCGCCCTCACAGCAGCATACTTCTACGTTTTCGAGGTCTTGAAGATGGATCAGGATGTCATCACTCCTTACGGCCAAGTCGCAT